AGAAAATGGAAGCTACTATCTAGGGCTTTTTAGGGTTCCGGAACAGAAGCTCGACCAGGGCTTTTAAGGGTTCCCAAAGGGGTATTTAGGGTTTAGGGTTTAGGGTTGTTTAGGGTTTAGGGTTTAGGGTTCAGGGTTTCCAGTGTTGAGGTTTTAGGGGTTTGTAGGGTTGAGGGTTTTTGGGAAACAGGGCTTTATGAGGGTGTAGGTTTCGGGAATGAATGAGCATCAAGTGGAAAAGGATGTGCACAATGAAATGGAAGCTGAGTTTAAGTTGGGCTTGTAGGGGATTGAGTCCAGAGGCCCAGGTAAGTAGAATAGCTTTCGAGGTGTGGGTAGATATATATATATATATTATGTGTGTGTATACCCTTAACCCTAAGGCCTAAAGCATGTGCGGCGCCCATACCCTACACCCCAAATCTTAGACTTGACCCCTTTCTTCTCAAGATGCTTGTCCCCCAATACAGCAAAGGGCAGGCATAGGGCCTAGTGAAGTAATTCCGGGGCTACCCGTCACTATGGTTCCCGCAGTTATAGGTTCTCCGAAGTTGTCCATTTGGTCCTTTTGTGGTTCTCCAGTATAGTGCGGCGCCTACTGTTTAGGATACCCAAAAATGAATCAACATTTTGATGATCCCCACTGATGTTTGCAAGAGGACCATGATGCCAGTGGACGTGTTACTCTGGCGGACTTCTACAACACAACCCTGCACAACTTCTTCTCCAGCACCGCACCCAGAGCATGCACTCGACCAGTTTCATGAGTAGCTACATGAAGCTATAGTCTACACTCCTTGAGGGGAGTTATGTAGGGGATTGTAGAAAAGAGTACTATAGGGGTCATTAAGGGGGGTACTAGCAGTTTAGACTTTAGCTCACATGAAGCTCTTTGTTTCGGATCGCCTTCGCTCCTCCTTTTCAATCTGTAGGCATTAAGTTCGGCAGGTCTAGCCAGTCTGATAAGGTAGTTTCCCAAATAGGGGGGCCCCAATATAGACCCCAATATTTTATAATCCTCAATTTGGGGACCCCCAAAAAGGTACCTTCAATTTTGGGAAACCCCCATAAATTATGGTGTGCAGTCAGACCCACATGACTCGGGGTACCATGACTGTTTTAAGCGGTAGTGTTGATAACACGATGTCGCCACCGTGCTTCATGATGAAACCTTTAATTTTGAGAAACGCCCATTTGCTATTCAGGGCTTGCACGGTCAGGGTATTTTTGACAGTTATCACTTGGGTGGACCCCCCGCCCTGTAATAGTGACTCTAAGGGATGAAGAAATAACATACAAGGGTCCTCTTATGTTCGTAGTATACTGCTATTACAGGGTGGCGGGTCCTCCTAACCTTCAACCCTAACCCTAAACCCTATACTATTACAGGGTGGGGGGTCCTCCTAAGTCATCACTTCTTGTAAAGGGTTTCCCTTGTCAGGTTTAAGGTTACGGTGCTTTTAAGCAACGCAGCGCTGGTAGACCTTGGTTGGGTACTGCCCCCACTCTGTCACAGTTAGACAATATGTACAATCTAGTTATATATAGCCCTTGATAACTGTTACCCACATATATGTATATAGATATATATATGTATATGTATATATAAACATTTAGGACCCCTTGCCCGGTGGCAAGCTGGCCCCTGGCCCGACACCCCCCCCCCACCCCTCCTGGTTCCTGGCCAAAATCCTGCTTTTTGGTCACTTACCCTGGACCCCCCCTGAACCCTCCTGGACCCGGCCTGTGGACTCCCTGAAACCAACCCCGCACTCTGGTTGTTGGCTCAAAGCCGCGCTGACTTGTGTTGCCTGTAAGGGTCGAGGCTCGACTAAAACTTGATGCTCAGGGAACGTACACCAACAATCATTTAAATTCCGAGCTAAAAACTAAAACTGAAATCAGAATCCTTGACCTGTTTCAGAGATTGTTGATGACCATATCCTAAATCTTAGCCTCATGCCTATAAGGTTTCGGTTTGAGACGTGCTAAATCTTCAGCCGGAAAGTCTTTATGAACCCACTCTGTTTCCTACGCCCTGAGCACTGCCCCCCAAGCCTGCATAAGTCGTACATCCGAATCTAATATCCTACCCTGCTCCAAACAAGCATGGAAACAACCGTAACCATTTGAAGAGACAGTAGTGCTTGCAAGGCCTCCGTTCCAGACAATTGCACTGTGCTGCAAGAGCTGTGTTATTTTGGCATTTGAGATTATTTGTGCATAATACCTCTCAAGCCATCCGAACTACAGTCACGTGGCCTTGCACTGCGCATGGTCACGAGCCAGCATATTGCCTGGACCCTTGCTGGCCCCTGGACCTCCCTGGACCCCCCTGGAACTCCCTGGACCCCGCTGGACCCCCCTGGACCCCCCTGCGCCCTCTTAGAACATGCCTGGACCCCCACCCGCAACCCTGCCCCGCCTTGACGAACTGTTTGCCCCGCAATCGGTTGCCTAGCCTGGCTGCAGACAGTAAGCGCGTGCGAAGCAAGCGCGTGTGTCTAGTATATATGTATATGCATAGAGCCCTTAAAATGACCCCTAATATAGGCTGTTACAGGGTGGGGGCAGTAGCCACGACTTTGGCATCTGAGTGGCTACGCGATACCCACGCATAGACTGTCATAGACTTGAGCGGCTTGCATGGCTTTTCAGAGAGCCGAATTCGTTGACAAAAACTCTTTCCATGCCAGAACTGCTGGCATGGCTGGCACACTGAATGCTGATACTCGCAGAAGTTGAGGGTTCGTTGGTATTTTACACAGGGCCAAAAGTTGAGACAGTAGCTGAGGCACCATGATTGGAGGACCTTCTCTGTGTACTCCGGTTAAATGCAATCCTCAGGTACAATAACATCCTGCGATATTCCCTAAGCCCTGTTAAATTCAGGGGCTGCCAAGAAATACAGTAAACCCCATTTGGCGGTTTTCACAAGTAAGGTGACCCCACTATAGACCCCAAGTTATTGTAATCCTCACTATGGGGACCCCCCAAAAGCTGACTCCAAATTCTCAATTTCCTATGCCGTGTCTGTAGCATCAGGGTCCTTACGTACACTCTGGGCAGCAACGCCTAAGAGCTTCAACCTCGCCTTTAGATAAACTTATAGTTTCTCCATTTTGTTTTCCATTATCCCTGTA